GAAAGGAAAGGAAAGGAAAGGAAAGGAAAGGAAAGGAAAGGAAAGGAAAGGAAAGGAAAGGAAAGGAAAGGGGGGAGATATGTGCTTTCAGACTTGCAAGATTCTGTTACTATAAACCTTTCAGTAATGGTAGCATTACTACTCATGGTTTTGGTTTCTTGTTTGGACTACCTCAAAGGGCTGACAGTATGATCTCCCACCTTATGAGTTTGGTTCTAGATTCTTTCTTGTATGCTGGTGTTAATGTAAGATATACTCCCTCATATAATGGAAATGGATACAGAAAAGACAGTTGCTATCCAGGTTTTTCCTTTCAAGCCTTGCAAATAAAGAATTATGTTATATGCTATATGTACATTTGGATTTTGACATAAATGTGATGGAGCAGGAGGAGGAAGAGGAAGAGGACGGTTTTAGCACAGCGAATGATAAAATAACGTTTTTTAAACTCTGCAGTTCTCCTCAGTTAATTCCTCATGGAAATGGAACTTTCAGTGAACAGTTGATGTTCACTGAATTTATTTCTGTAGAAAAAAGGAGAAAGTGCACTTCAATGTGGTAACTGTATGCATCCACAAAATTCCCATCTCTAATGAAATGAGTAGGAAATTCTTCTCATCCTGGAACTTCACTGGTGTACCAGATCATGTCTAGCTGGTACTCTTTACTAAAAGTACTGTGTTTGCTAGATATTTAGAAATAAGAGAAAAATGTGGACATGAGTTGGATTCCAATGATTATGGACTATATTTCAAATTTAACACATTGTCCTATCTCTTCTCTCTTGGCACTAGCATGCCCTGAGGTTTCTTTCCTCAGACAAATCTAATCTCTAAAATATGATGAATTCTCTTCAGCATAGAAGTTGGAATCAGTTTTGAAAATATCTTCATTCTGACTGTAATTCTGCTGATACAGTGGCATTCACTAACAGACCTTTTTTGTCCCTTTTGCATCTAGATATGCTTTCCAAATTAGTGCAAGCAGATTAAAGGATCTTTGTGCAGAAAAAAGACAACATTAAAAAAAAAAAAGGAAGTCCTATTCATAAATAAATCTGTTTGCCATCCTTTGAATTGTTCATGTTGTTAATACTTATTTTTTTATCTGGAAGGTGAGAGAATTTAGGGATTTAATATATTGCTTAACAGTATATCAGTTCCTAAATCTCTTTTCCTTCTTAAAAATCTATTATCAATACAGTTCTTACAATTCTAATCTCAAGGGACTTTTTGCTGCATATTATTATACTGTTAAAGTTCCGGGATGGTAACTGAATCTTCTACTATTGTGCACAACAGTCCATGTAGCAACTGTTCTTATGGGACAAGAAAGCTACAGAAATTAAATATCGCTGTTCTTATTCTTGGCAAAGACCACATCCTTTGGGGGAGAACTGAAAACTACATGAGGTTTTGGGGTTTTTTTCTTTGCGTTTGTGTTGGCTTATCAGAGCATTTTACTTTCATACTAGTATGTGAGTAATCTAAATTTAATTAAGATTGACGTACGATATTGGTTACCATCTGATAATCTTCTGCATGGTTATAGTTTCTGTTTACATATTTTTAAATGGATGAACAGGATTAGTGAATTCATCCTGAAAAGAAAAGGTGTGTCTTCTAAAAATCCTTTGATTATGATAGCCCTGAGAAACAGGGAAACTCATCTTATTAAAGTGCCCTTTAATATTCATTCTGTTTATTTTCCAGGTTGAACTAACAATCAGATATGGATTCTACAAAAAGAACTACTATTGGTACACAACTAATTCTTATACCTTTTGGCCAGATACCTCTTTTCACAGCATTTTTAATACTTGCTATTTATTAATATATGCCTTGTTCTTTTGCCTGCTTCAATGAAAGCAGTTAGAATAAGTCTCTATTAAAGTTAAAGGACTATTTGTTATAGCAATCGTGTTATATTCCCACTCTCTTTTCAGTATCTGTGTGACTCTGAACCACATTTCAAACCTAATGGAATATTTGGCCAGGGACATCTTTAAGCCACCCTAGAATCAGATCATCATACCTAAAGTCCTGCCCATTCATTAAGAGTGGCACATGTTGCTGGTCAATGAAGCAGAAAATGCTCCTTGTTCATGCTTTATATTTTACACTTTATATTTATTACACACTTCAGAGATGTGGCCTGGCTGAGTTTCATTCACACTGAGCTCTCTTCTTATTCATCAAGAAGCTCTACACATATATTTTTATTTTTACTTGATACTTTCAAATATTGCTCTGAGTTTTCTGTGAATAGGAAGCACATTTCAATATGTTTAACTATTTTTGCTTATCCAAAGGTCAGTTTGCTAGGATTTTACTAAGAACAAAGAGTAATTCTGCTTTTAACTGTAGCCTGCCACTTTCATATAAATCCTTCAAGGCTGTGTTCTGATTTTTAAGAATGAATGCTCCAATTCCTGACTATGTGGAAGAATGTTCACATGCCTTGATGATATGTAATACTGTAATAATAATCAATAAAAGGTATTATGCAGAGGATGAAAGGAGCCTGTACAAGAAATACTTCCCCATGCTTTCATTTCTACCTAGCTTCAGATCATGGTATCTACAATAACAAAGTTTTCTCCTTAACTACTGACATTGCTTAAATATATAACATCGCTCATATTGAGATTAGATAATACATTATCCTTACAAATATGGGTTTTTTTTTCAAATTATTTTAATATGGTTTATCATGGCATAAATTTAATGCCCTTTTTTGTCCTAAATATATAGTAAACTGGAAATAATATAATAGGCAGTGCTGTGTTTGGAGTGTTCTTACAAACATATATAGAAATCATGTTACTCTCTTTCAGAATAAGAAACATTTTGCAAATGTAAGTGTAAGCAGTAGTATGGAAAAGAAATTAAAATCAGTAGATAAGAGAAAATAAAAGGAAACCTAATTAAGTCTACTTTGCATAAACACCATTCTCTAACTTTTCCATATCTTTCTGTCCTGGCAAACAAATTCATGCATGCACTTTGTCCTTTAAATTTTTCACATCTTTCCTTTTGAGGATCTCCAAAAAACAACTTTCTTGGTTTTTACCTTCTTCTCAATCAATTCAATCTTCTTTCATGCATTTGTTTGTGATTATATCTTCATCTCTCAATGACAAAGCTTCTCAGTGTTGTTCTTTTGTATTGGTCACTCACTTTTATATTCAGTCCATATACATATATCACCCATTCAAACCCTCTATCTTTTTGTTTTACCTCTCACTTCTTAAGTAACCCTTTTCTCATGGCATTCAATTTCCTTTTATGATGCTAAAGTCTCACTTTCATGTAACAAAGTGGACAGACTCACTCTCATACAGTATATGCAGCTATTTTCACATTTTTTTAATCTTCATTCCTCACAATGGACCATATACTATCCACTGTCTTCTACCAGCATTTGCATGTCTGAAAATCTCTCCATTTTCCCATCTTTAATAAATATTATACCAAACTACACAAATTAAGCATCTTACTCTAATCTTTTGCCATTTATGTATCATGTGTGATCATTCACTCTGTTTTCCCTGTCGAACATAACAACCTTGGTCTGCACAAAATTCTGGATGGGGGAATTTTGGGATTTTAAGTCCACACGTCTTAAAGTTGCTGAGGCTGAAAACACTGTGCTAGATGCTCCTTCTTTTCTTGATTTTCACCAAAATTGCTCTACATTTTCTGTACCTCTTTTAATCTTCATTGTTCCTTGCTCTCTTTACCAATCTTTACAATTATAGTTTTATCTCTCTGAGCATATTATATAGTATCTTTATCTCATACTCATTGTTTGCAACAATCATCCACCTCTAGCCATTTTCTTCTCATTCATGGCCGCTTTACTTCATTACCTCAAGATCTTTTTTTCATACTTCCCATTAGCATAAATTCATACCCTTCTGTGATATTTTGTAACATAGTTCTTTTACGCATAGGCTTCCACAGGGTCAGCGCAAGAAGGAAATTACAAACCATGCATCATAATGTTGTGACACAAACTCAATATCTTAGTACTTGGTACTTTTGTGTAATGTCAGAATGCAAGTATGCATCATGACCACAATGAACATTTAGTCGTTTGGGCATAATTATAGTTAGGAATGGATGCCTCTGTTTTCACTCTGTACCAAGCAACCACCACATCTTCTTTCCTTATGTTTACCTTCCATACATACAGCTAGAAGATTGTTCTACTAATGCATTTTCATATAGGGGTCACTTTTTCTCTCCCTGCAGTCATTCTACTTCTATTGTAATTTATTGCACTTCTTTCTGTTTTTTTAATGTTCTTTTTCCCCAGGTTCCACTTTTGACATTATCAAATAATGGTTTGTGTCACATCCAGAAACTCAGATAACTGTTTTCTTCACTATTTTTCTCCATATTTCGTTATAAGCAATCAAATCAGTTGTGTTTTTAGATTTATATGCATTTCTTTGCATGTGTATTCATGAATAGATTTAAACCAAACATTTGAAATAGACCTTTTTCTAAACAGATACTCACCAAACACAATTCTCATTCATTCTTGGCCCACTCACTTTTTTGGTACTCTCTTACCTCATTTACAACATTCATTCATGTCAGAATATCTTTTACCCCAGACCGTTTATTTAGAATCTTCCATATTTTTTTCTAAAACTCATCCCTGTTTTTCCATAATTATCATACATTGCAACATAAAGTTACAACTTTACAAAATCTCTTACTTTCATGCACATCCACAACATTCTAGAAAATACCAATTCATATTTTCTGATATACATTTAAATCCTTTCATTCATAATTAAACATATTCCTTCCCTTTCATGCCCTCATTTATACCATTCCACAAGATCTGATCAAGACACCTTCATTCAGGTCTATTAAATACTGTCCCTTTATCTTATTTCTATAAACATACAACACTGCAGAGTTGGTAACGACTGAGCGCAGAAAATTTTTTTTTTCTTTTCTTTCATTTATTAATTCACAGTCTTTATAATTTGCTTTTCTTACATTCTGAATCACAGTCTTCCATATGCCACGGTCAATATATTCGCTCATGAATATATCCATGATATATTCCACTGTTCATCATGGCTTTGGGCAACCGAAACACAGTTTTACCCTAAGAATGCTCACAATATCCTAAGTTAAGATCTCTAATGTAAAGTCTATCTTGCAAGCCAAGGTACTATTGTGTACCATCTTCTAGGAAGTATTTGCAATGTAGCAACATATTCAGGATATTTTGGGGCTGTTCACTCAACAAAAAAACAGAATGATATTCCTTGCTTATTTACTACTCAGTTACTATTTTGTCTCACACATTTTTAAAACATAGGTAGAGAGAAAGTGAGACAGAGAAAGAGAGATTCCTTGATGATACTTCAAGGCCAAAATTTGGTTGCCCAGCATTCAGCATTAGTTTTTGTGTAGGGATAGCAATCTCTTTTTTAAAAAAACATCATGATTTTTTTGTTTTTCTTTCTTAGGAAATTGCGATTGCAGTGTCTATAAGCATGGTTTCTTCATAAAATCACCACCACTTCATCTTTTTAGTAATCAGGTACAATTAGGAAAATGATAACTTTACTATCAAGGTCATCAAAATACATCCTAATATGCTGGTTGTCTAATTTGTGAACTTGACTTTTTCCCCTCTTTCTATAGAGTTCCTGGAAAAAGAGATATTTTATTCTTTCTAACTCTGCCCAAAATGGTTACATCTTGAACTATTTTAAAGGACAGCAAATAAAGGGCCACATTGAAATTAGTGAGTAAGTATTTGGTCAAGTCTACCACAGTTTATTTTAACTGAATTACTACTGAAGTACAAAGCTTCTGATTTAAAAATAAAGGGTGCTGCAATTTCCCTACAATGCATTTTGGTCTAGATCATATGGTATGTGATTGCACCGTCCCTATGCAACAGCTCCCCACTTCCAGTTCTTCATGGCCCTAGCCCTGTTGTGCTTTCACAAATCGTTAAAAAACTGGCTCTTCCAAAAGACCCTGGCACAGGATGATCCACTCCCTGGTACTGAATCTTGGTTTAATAACTGTGGCTAGGTTTTGTTTTGTGCCATTGGATCATCATCTTGTGGTTTTTATTCCTGATATGTAAACTACCTAGCTTTGCTCTTTGATGCTAGAGATGAAGTTGTAAGGGAACAGTTGAATAACACCCTTCATGCATTTTTTTAAAAAAATATGAGTAATAGGGTTGCATGAGCTTAGCCTAATTCTGACTGTGTAGGCTTGTGAAAAGGGATCCTATATGACTATGTATGAAAAGCTCCTTTTTGTGAAGGCATAATCCTGATTGTACAATTACTACATCTGGGCTTGAAAACATCAGGTGACCACCAGCAAAGAGTGAGGAACTCTTTGCTGCCATCTAATGGTTGCCTGGGTCTGTGCAGCCCAGATATGATATCTCTGCTGATTGCCTAGGAACTTCTTTGAGCAGGAATTTTCTATACACAATAAAGGCTAAAGATGATTTCCTCATATTTGTCAAACTTAATGAGCATTCCTAGTGAGTGCCTTGCTAGAAGTAAGTCCTGAAATTTTCGTAAATATATTTTAAACATGTGATATATTTGATTCACATTCAGTTTTTGAACTTGTAGAGCAGGATAAGGATTTGAGACACAGATATGTCTCAAATCTATTCCTCCACAATCTGCTATCATCCAGATGTTTTCAGAACCAAATTCCATCTGACCCAGCCAGCAAAACTGTTGTTTCAAACACAGCACAGGCATTCTTAGAAAAAAAATATTTTTATTTCTAAGAATTTGTTTTCGAACAATCACAAATTTATTACATTTGTTTGTTTGCATTTTTAATAATTATTTAACAGGGCTTCAAAAATAGAAATTGGCATAGGTGACTCTGAGAAAATGTCAACTGTGAAAAAGATGTTCAAATGCCAGTCCACTGAAGTGATGACTATCACTACAGAGAATAGAATATTTTACCTTGTTGGAAGAGATAGGTAAGTTCACAATCCTTTTATGGAATATGGCTTTAATTTGTTATCATGTTGCATGAAAAGCATACCAAAACTTTGAAATTGGGTCCTCAGACTTGCCTATTTCTCTATAAATGAGACCCAAATATGAATTAGAGTTGGAATGGGCATTTTAAGCAAATAAATCCAATCCTTGCTCAGTGCAAGAATTCAGACTAAAACATCCCTGGGATATGACTATGAGTTTAAACACATCCAATGAAGGAAGTACTTTACAACCCTTGAAAATTGCATCTGCTATGAAACGGCTCTTATCATTAAGATGTTTTTCCTAGCATTCAACTGTAATCTGCCTCCCTATAATTTCAGACCATTATTCTGAATTCTGCAGTGCAGAGAGATAATAACTGCAGTGCCCACGCTTCAATGCTCTTTATGACAGAGAACAAGTTAGATTCTCAAAATTCATGGCATAAGGCTGGAAAAGAGAATAGCAAAGCACGGAGAACACTTGCTGACAGTTATGGGAGGGAGGGAGGGAGGGAGGAAGAAGAGTCTTTTTCATAGTTAAATAAACATTGCTCTAAGAGGAATATGTTCCACTATTCTATAATAGAGGAAGTTCTGCAATGCAAAGGGAAATATAAGCTAATCTTTAAGTAAAATCAATTCCAGTGGAATATTTTGCATGACTCCTTTGAAAACTATCTGAAATTCAGACTTGCATTTCATTCTCTTTCCTATTTTTTGGTATGGGAGAAAAATCAGTTATGCTTAAAAAGAAATAACGCACATCCTCTTAGACACCTATAATTAAGCTTCTTCTTCCTTTTCCCCAGAATTCAATATATTCTTATCTCTCAACAAACTGACACAGAAACAAAACAGAAGGAGCGGGATTTTTTTCTCGTTGTTATTTTCCTCAATTTAGAAAACAGTGCCAATTGCCTTAATAGGTACTTTGAAAGATTTAAAGTTCTGTCTGTTTCAACTAAGACCTTGTAAACAAAAGGTATAATACAAAGAATACTTGTTTAGGGTTATCTTTGACCTTTGTCATTTAGAACAGATTTTTCCTTAAACAATGGAGTTATAGGGTTCTTTTGAAGCATTATGTTAATTTTATTGTAATCAGAAAGGGAAAAGAAGTAATTAGGGTTCTGCTGCCTGCATCAAAAAATAGCCATTTGAAGAGCTAAGGGAAAGATGGGGCTTCTGCCCCAAATGACAATGATGTCTCAAATCCTCCCTCCTGCATGCACTCCCAATCCCCCCCAACAAAATGAATTAATGCATACAGATTTGAGCATACATTCACCCAAGTACAAGGGAATACTTGATATTAGTCGTTCTGCCAGCAGCATTCATCTGTGCAATCAGCCAAAAGTATAGAAGAGGGCATGTCATACATACCATGACAATCTACTCTAATTACATCTTTGGATTGGCTGGAAGTGGTGTATAGATACAGTAACTAGAAACAAATAGAAGCCTATGAATGAAGATAAATTGGATGAGGAAACGTGGTCCCACTCCTGCACCCTCATACCAAATTTGCTTAAAGGAGGAATAGCTCAAGAAACTCCTGACAACAGTGCAGGGTAATATCACTGGCTCATACAAGAAAGCTGTGCATTCAAAATTTTGGTGCAATAACAGAATTATGCATACCCTTACTACCTTGGTGTCTTGATATCAGTTCAAACTAGAGGATAATGAATATTTTGCTATAATAGTGAGAGAGAGAGAGATTGCTGATATTAATGGAAATGTCTCTTTGAGTAAAAATAAAATATTTTTTAGAGATCAAATTTCCCCAACTGGTTATCATGCAAATGTATAGGACCAGGGTTCATATTTGGAGAGCTCCAGGTTCTGAAAGGCTGCTTTATAAACTGGATAATCAGATTCTTCGGCAACCATATTATGTAATTTGAGTGATGATGTCATGACAAATGCAATGTCACTTGCCTTCATAACCCCTTAAGGTCATCCATACCTCTAGCCAGCAGGGTCTGCAGAAAACCCCAATAATGCCAAAATGTGTTTTTGTGTAACACATGGACGTTGTAATCACACAAATGCTAAAAGTATACATTTGTATATGATCTGATGCAGGTATGTAAGTAATGGCATTTGCATACTTACATCATCACATGTGCATCATCATTTAATCTCCCCTTGCTGTTTCCAAGGACACTTGCATTTACAGCACTAATATTCATACAAATTGAATTTAACCAGTAAAAAGAGGAATGTAACTGCAGTTAATTAACTACAGGAGTCATTGGAAAACCATAATTTCCTTTGCCATCCTTAGTATAGTATCCATTTTTGTTAATAGAAACGGTCTGAGGGTTCACTTCTAGCCTACCAATCAAAATACCATCTTTTCCTCTTTATCATTCTTTGCAGCAAGAAAAAAAGCCATTAGAATCTTTGGGCAAATATAGGAAAGCTATAAACTGAACTCAACCCATTCTCAAAATCTTCCATGCATAAAACAAGGGAGTCACACAATAAGTATCTTATCTGAAAGCACTCTGAGCCCTATGAGACTATTTGTTTCATATTTGAAGAATCCTTGCTGTGGTCTCTAAATATCTGCAGCTTGTAGCTGTTGAAAGCGATGACCTATTCCTGCAAGAATAAAAATAGAATGCAGATACTTTCATAAATGACAACAGTTCCCCTTCTTTAAAAAAAAAAGTGGGGAGGGGTAAAATCTCTTTTAAATCGAGCTTGACTCCCCATAGATAGACTGAATTTTACTGGATAACAGTAGGGAAGTGATTTTCCTTTATCTTCTGGAATTTTTTTTTTTCCCGATTTCCTAATCTAGCCTAATCTAGCATCCTAACGCAAGGGTATCTCACCCAAGTATTAACTTCCAAGCCATCTTGCTTAATTTCCAAGCCCAGACAGATGCTGCAACTTGCTGAATGTTTCTTGATTAATTCTGCAATTCATGGGCAAGGGCAAAGAATGATAAACTCATCATCTTGGGGATGGCTAAAGTGTTCAAGTCATGGCTTGTGATCACCATCTGGAAAGACTTTTTTTTTTACTTCTCTTACTCACCAGTCATTGTCTGCACACTTTCATTCCTCACTCATGTGTCTGTTTCTCTTTTGTCTGTTTTAAAACATTGAAAACCCTAGCAAGAAAGTTGAGGAATGGGCTACCTTCCTATTTGCATTGTGCTCGGAAAAAAAGGTAAATAAATGTTTTCTTTTGCTGTTTTGAGTAACGCCAAGAATTAAAATGTGTTATTAAAATGACATCTTTACTGTTTGTGGAGAAAAAAAGTGAACGGTTAATTTTCAGTTGCCTTCCTCCCTTTGTAGCCACATTCAACTCCAAAATGAAACTTGGCATGCACAGCATATGAGAATTTTACTAGCACTTGTTGCCTTTAATAAGGCAGTTAGATTACAGAAGCCAGGTTTCAATTTATTAGCTCAAGACATATCATTTTTATAAATAATAAGCTGTTAAAGTTGACAGTGATGAGCCTATTCTTTTTTTATTTGCTTTAATTAAAGTAAGTTTACTTAAAGGCTTAGTTCTGCCCTTTTAGTTAAGAATGTGAATCAAGTTTCTACCACATATTCATATCTCACTTCCACTGGATATATTCTGTGAGGAAAATGGGCTTCTTATCTCCTGAAAATTAACAAGATAGTATCTACATAATTCTTGTTGATTTTTACTTGCAGTCCAAGACCAATATTTAAAAGAAGACAATATTACAACACATCAAATATAAAACAGCCATATAAAATAACAATAAAATTAAACTTATACAGAAAAGTCTGAAGTGATTAATAGTGTAAGGAAAGCCTCAGATGACTTCTGCCGGCTGTGGCTATTGTTAAAAATTTAGCAAATTGGTTGGTAATAGATGAAGTCTTAAGACAGCCCATAACCTAATCCTCCTCCCATGTTATTAACAATCATAAATTTGATTACTGGATGATTCTTTGCTAGTACAGGAAAATACTTATTTATTTATAAATCACATTTATATGACAGCTCTGGGGGGTGTACAATTTAAAAACAACATTCAATGCAGTAAAAAGCCAAAAAAAAAAAATGGTGAAAACCCAGGGACTAAAACATTAAAGTGTTAATCAAATCCACACACCCCCAGAGCACCTACTACTTACCCCACACCTAGGAAAGAGCTAGGCCTTCAGCTGAAAGGGCAGCACAGCTGGCGCTATTCCAACCTTCAAGGGAATGCTGTTCCAGAGAGCAGGCACCGTGACAGAGAAAGACTTATTTGATAATTCTCTTGAATCAAAGCCACAATGGCCTTTTTAAGCAGAACTGTTAACAGCAAGAGCTCATAGATAAACAGTACAATTTCAGGGGCCATTTTAAGCCATGTCCCAAAAGTAATGTCTCTAAGCAAGTTTATATTGAATTTCACCTAGAAAAGACAACAATTTGGAAATTTTTAATCCAGCAAAATATTTGAGGATTAAGTGACAATGAGTACAATAAAACAAGCAAGTAGTACTTAGCTAAATTTTGCATACATTTCTGAAGATACTTGCCATCCCAGACTGATGGAATATAAGGTGATGGTGAGTTTACTTTATGGGCTAGTTGCTACCTTATGCATCTGTACTTTCAGAAGAAGAATATAGCCATTTACTATGGCTGCCCATTTTTGTTGGTCTCAAGATGGTTTACAAAATAAGGAAATGCATAAAATAAACAGGAACAAGCAACAACTAATAATCTGCCTAAAAGATAACCTGCACACTACTTACCCCAAAATGGTTGCAGAAACATCAATGTCTTCAGCTGTTATGATCAACAATTTTTATGATTCATGTAAAAGTATAGAAGGTTTGTTGCCTAAATTTTGAATCAGAAACAGGAAACTAGAAGTCGGTCAAGATCTGTCCCAGCCTGTCTTGATGAATTGTGTGCTGCCTCTATCACCAAGAAGGATCAGTGTCCTGGCACTGAATGTGAAGTAAGTGTTATCAGTTTATTTTTATAGATGCATATCCACTTTATTTGCAGGCCAATTATTTAATAGTATGAGGCAAGGGACAAAATAAGAAGGCAAGAAATTACCTGTTCTCAGAAACTTGATTTCATCTTCATTCTTCCTCCCAATAGTTGGTTACTATTATGCTCCCACTTAATGCTTAGTCATTATTTGCTTGTTTTAGGAGTTATGTGGGGGATATGTGCAAACTTTCTTCAATATGCAAGGTCTGCATATTTCTTCTCTTTCCCTTCAACAATTCTTATTTCTGTCAAGCAAACATCTAAGATGGGCAAAAATCATCAATTGGGTAGTATTCCAAGCCCTATAACCGTTCAGATTTCTGCTGAGTTGTTTTCAGAAAAGGTGCTGTCTCTTCTTCCACAGTACACTTGGTATTAAACTACATAGCTAAACTGTGCCATTGACAAATATCCCTTCAATGATTAACCATAGATTTTTAAAAATACTGTACTACCCTTCTTTTCTTGAACATTTGTAGCATATTGAAAGTAAATTAAAGCTGAAGTATCTGTTTATTTTAATTCTCATCAGAAATTCTATCAAAGATTTTCAACTATCACTTTTAATTAATCAACTTGAAATAAAGCCATTCAGTGCCTATTTTTTCCCCCCTTTTTGGGCTGTAGGACATAGTAGCATCAGTTTACAAAAAAAGGCCAAGTTCAGACCCTAGTCCTCAAGAAACCTATGAAGAACTTCCTATTTATGAGTCACCAAGAAAACTCTTACGACGCCTGGTGAGTTCAGAAACTGGGTCTGGATATGTTGTCTGTCAGGTTTATCTGAAATATTTGCTGAAATCTGAAATTTCATCATTATTCCCAATAATGGGAATACTTGCACAACAATTGTTTCTTTTCTTTTCTTTTCTTTTCTTTTCTTTTCTTTTCTTTTCTTTTCTTTTCTTTTCTTTCTTTCTTTCTTTTTTATGCATAGATATCAATTGTTACTTTGTTTCTGGCTCTTTTTACTCTTGTGAGACTCCAAATATGGTACATGTTGGACAAAGGAGTTAGTATTAGTGAGTGGAAGCATAGTAAGATGATACCGTATGTAGATGTCTTGCCTTATTGGCCAGAATATCTATACAATAGATAAATGTGTATAGGTTCTATGTGCATTAACTTCCTTGTGAGATGGACATTGTCCAAATTTGAAATATAAATAAATAAATAAAGTGCAGTAATTATCTGAGCATTTTACTAAGTATTGCCCTTTTTAAATATATCAACAGCCCTTATTACTGTACTTAATAGATACATATACGCCAACTGGGGGAGATTGATTTGGCTTTGTTTTCCTACATTATAACATATCTTAATTGGGGATGTCCATTTTCAGAATTTCATTTCTGATTTTCTAATAAGGAAGCAACCAAGTACCTCACTGTTTTGTGATGATTTTTTTATATCTATATTTATTTTTATCTTTCTCAGGATATATTATTGACTAAAGAATAATTAAACTATTGTTTTAGAGACAACTGACAAATATTCCTGTTGAAGAACAGTTAGAAGAAAAAGACAACAAAGAGGAATATTATGCTACTCCAAGAAGTCTTTTAGCTCAGGTAAGCAGAATGGCATGATCTCCTATGTTATTGATTAGATTAGCCATGGAGTACGCACAATACAGATGTTTGCATGAATAAACACAATTGTTCATTTTAAACATTTTATTTATTTACACATTCATTATTTATACAACTATTTGTATGCTGCTTAACCAATTTAGGAAGGTTATAATCATAAGTGATAAACATCTGAAATCACCACAGAAATATAATCAACATAGAAACATCAAACCTCCAAGCTCCTATCCATCAGCAGTTTCTACTGCTGGCCTGAACAGCATTAAGAAAGGGGCCATTCTGACCTCAGGATGTAAGCTGTTCCAAAGCAAGAAAATGGTGACCAAAAAGATCATCCATCAGGTCCTGCCCCTAACAACTTGTACGTATTTGAGAGGGACATTCTACCCTGAACCTAGTGGACTAGCCTGAACTGGCCAAAGACATTCCCAGCTCTAGCAAGATCCAGGAGCCTAGGAGAAGTCCAAATTGTGCATCAAGTCCTTCAGGACAGTAACATCCAGTGGTGTGCTGGTAGATGTTTAAGAACTGGCTCTGCACCACTAGCCACAGAACATTGCTGACTGGCATGCTAGGCTTAGTGGCTCAACTCTGCTCTCAACTGGCTCACTAAATTCCAGAAAATTTAACAATCAGCTTTTGCAAGCCAGTGCAAGTTGGCTCCAGCACACCATTGGTAACATCCCATCCAGAACTAAAGGTAGAACTTCCTTGATCCAGAGGGCCTAGTTCCATCTTTATGGGATTCAGTCTGAGTCTGTTCTATCCCATCCAGTCTCTTACAGCCCGCAAATCCATTTCATCTTCTGCTCAGCCTGGAGTAGAGATATATAGGTAGATGTCATCAGTATACTAATGATACCTCACTCCAAAATATTATATGGCTTCTCCTAGTGGTTTCAAGGAGATGTTAAAAAGGATGGAGAGAGAGGGCTGAAGCCTGGGTCATCCTATATTATAATGCCCAAAGCTTCAATTTCTCTCCCCCCACTGTCACCAGTTGGAATCATCAGCTCAAGAAGATTAGGAACCATGGTGAAACCCTTATAAGGAGTCCAAAAGAATGTCTTGATTAATTGTACTGAATGCAGTTAAGATCTAACAGAACAAACAGGTTCTCTCCCTTTCTCTTTCTCTCTGTCTCTCACACACACACGCACATACTTCAGTCTCCTTTACCATCTCAGGTGCAGTTTCTTACTCTCTGGTGATCTCATTTTCATACATTGATACCTCTTGCATCTGTTTATGTTTAGCATGTTTCCAGATCATTTAAGCATCACCTGTACCATGAAGGAAGCCAGGAATAAGAACAGATAGCTCTGTTCTTCTTTGTCACTGTTTTCCTCATATGAAGGGCAAACTCATAGAGAGCATCTATGAGATATACTGTATAATGCTGATTTGCTAGGGACCACTTGAGAAAGATCCTTTGTTTGAGCAGGACACATAGAAGGCCCTATTTCCCCTTTTGCCATCTCTTTTTTGTCCAAACCAATTTGACCCAATTTCTAAGATTTTCAGCTGTCCCAATTACTGAGATTTTTAGAGAAACTAAATGGACTACTAAGCAATGACTATTTGATTTTGGTTCACTGAGGTACTAGCTTTAGCCAGTGTATCAATATTCCCACAATGGTAGAATCAAAAGCTAGAAACTGCTAGGTTTAGCTGATGACAGTTTTATATAATTTGATAGTGTTGTAATTAATTGCATATAATTTATTTTCAAAGCTGGATGAGGTGATTGATGGATTTAACACTCTGGGAGAATCTAGTGGCTCAGACAGTGAAAAGTTCAGTAGCGCTAAAGAATACATGTCCATGAAAGATTTGTAAGTATACTAGCATTAGGATCTTTTACTCCTACATTAATCTGGACCAAAATATTTACGCATTTCTTTTGCAACTTTGTTTCCATGTGAGTAGCAAAGAAATTAGCCCAATACTTTAAAAGTTGGCCTGCTTATGAATGTTGGAGATATGACCACCAGAGCTAGGCTTCAAAAGCAGGATGGCAATAGGTGGCAGAAAACCCCAGTCATTTGTCTTGCAGCCCATATCCAGTAGTTCTACTGGAAATGATTGGTTCCTGCTGTCCCCTGTATGGACAAATGCAATCTTTTCTCCCTGCAGGAAAAAAAAGTGGCATGAAGCACTTGCTTCTGGGTTTCTCCATGGGGAGAAATAAGTCCCCCTCAGTGCTCATAAATGCTATGAAGGATTGGTCTCAGCACTCCCACTCAGCTATTGGTCAACTGTTCATTGCAAATAAAAAGGCAGGAGAGAATGGGAATTCTGAAAAGGATGTGGGCTGTGGAGACAGGTCAGGGATTTAGTGGAAGGAGAAGGAGTTTAGGGCTTTATGGGAAAAGTCCAGGGGCCAGCTTAGGCTCCTGTGCTAGAAGTTCCTCTTGTCTGTTTTCTATTTTAAGTTAATCTTTACTACACCAGAAGATGCACATTCAGTCTTGTTTATCTCCAATTGTATTTCAAAGGGAATTTCAGCATGTAAGCATCTGATTAACTATTTCTCTTGAATTCAAATTCAGCTAAGATTGGAGATCAATACCGAAAGTAAAATCCAACTTCAGATATTAATACTAGCACAGTCAGAATGATGGTAATGATGGTAATTATTACCAATATTTTTAGTTGCATATTGATCACATATTTAACTCTTAGTCAATAAGGTTCTAAACAGAAATATTCTGTTTCTGCACTGGTTACACACTTCTTTTTCTTTTGCTATACTTGTACATGAGCCAGTTGTAAATAACACAATGGCCAAACTCAAACATCACACCAAATCAGAGTTTAGCGTGACCAAAACAGCTGGAGGCTAGTACACTTCTTACTTTCTCTTCTGATGCTACCAGTAGATTTCAAGTCAGCTTGTTTTAAACAATTGGTATTTAACACTAACTACATTTTGTTGGTGAGGATGACACAACAAGATATGCTGAAGCAAAAACTGCTGATAAAAAGTTCTAAGTATCTCCTTATGACCAAGCAAGGGGAGAAGTAAGTGACCTTGATGTTTGCTGAAGTTCACTCTTATCTCATTGAATTATGGTATTATTATGGAAGTATTAACATGACATTCAAAGATTATTAACAACAATATTTGAAGTAATCTGGCAGAGGACAATCCATTGTTTTGCTTCGCTGGTTTTGCTACAACCAGTTCATATACTTTTGGGAAATTCCATATTGTATAGTTTCCTCAAATTTGCTATAGACTAAACAAGTGTTCTCCATCCTGATGCCCTTCAGAAGTATTGGGAGTATATTTCCAAGAGTTCCCAGCCAGCATGGCAAGATTGTGGAAGATCTAATCCATTATCAATATCTATTTATTCCATGTTTTCAATCAATTTGAGTTGATTATTGGTTCCACAAGCCTTAGCAAGCAGCATATACATAAATCATTTTAGTGAGCTCTTAGTATATCACTGAGAGCCAGTTTGGTCTAGTGGTTAAGGTCCCAGCATAGGAACCAGGAGACCATGAGATCTAGTCCTGCTTTAGGCACAAAGCCATCTGGGTGACCTTGGGCCAGTCACTCTCTCTCTCTCAGCCCTAGGAAGCAGGCAGTGGCAAGCCACTTCCAAAAATGTTGCCAGGAGTCAACACTGACTTGAAGGCACACACACACAGACACAATATGCCAATACCACTGCTCAAAATATGGTGTTTCCCATATTTCTTGATATGTGAAGGTCCAGGAAAAAGAAAGAATCAGGAAGAATTAATTTTCTTTTGGAAAACCATAAGGCCCAAGAGAAAGCAGAACAATGCAACATAAGTTTATTTCCAAGCACCTTAGGTTCTTCAAAATGCAAAGTATACTCACTTAATGTAGTTTCAACACATGTCAAGAGACTGACTTTAGAAGTTCATGATCATGCCCATGTGGTCAGTGAGTAAACTATCACATTATTTTTTTTTCCTTTTCAGGTAAATATTACCTGAATTATCCTAAATTTGTTCTTTACTTTACATGATCTGTTCCCATTCAAGTGTTGCCCTTGAAATGACTGAAGTAAAAAACCTTGCTATGTTTCTTGATTGTGCAGGTTCAGTTCTCAGTCCAGAAGTAAGATTTCTGGGGACCTGGTTGATGAATGTCTTTTTAAGGGTGATATAATCTATCCCTCAGGGTTCCAGCAGTGGTGGAAGAAAAAATTAAGCCAATACATACAAATAATGAATTGGTGGCCCTTCTGCAAAATCAGGTGGATGTACAAGTGGCAGAGGAGTATCAACCCAAACCAAAGCCATTACCAAAAATATTCAAAGTGGAAAAAACACCTAAACTCTCCTTTTTATCAGTGGTTCAGTTGTCCATAATTCTCGGGTAAGAATGTCTTTTTAATATAGTCATTTCCCTCATTATCATAAAATGTTGAGGTCTAAAAGGAAATGTTTTTATTTAAATTGGATTTAAATAGAACCTAGTCAAATTGTCCCAATTCTAAATAAATAAACATCACTCTGGTAGTTAATAACAAAACTTTGAAGTTAGCACATTGTTCCATTATGTGAACCAGGAAATAATATGTAACTTTATCTCTCCATCATCTGATTCATTGAATTCACCAAATATATATTACACATATATTTGTTCTTTTATTTGCATATTATGCAGAGATAGAGGAGAAATAAAATGTCCCAATTCTTCCTTCTAAAATAGTTTGATTTTGTTACAAAACCACCTTTTCCACAAATTTGTTCCAAACATGGACTTCCTGGTCAGGACCTTGAACACTAATAAACCTAATAATAGGGTTATGTGCTCTGAAATCCAACAATGAAACAATATTTGATAGCCAATCAATACAGTTTATTAAATTATATTTGAGGCTAATATTTGAGGTTACAAATCAATCAAACAATAAGCAGTTAATAATCTATGGGGAATTTAGCACAAAAAATATTTGAGGCTAAGGGCATACAACGGTATTAAATTAGAAGCAGTTCATATTCTGTGAGAAACTTAGCAAATTCAGCTGTGTGAGGGAACAACAAAGAAGCTCAAAGAATTGCAGGGGTAGTGGAAAGAGGGTTGTCAAGAAGCGATGCACTTTGCTCAGAGTTCAACTATTGATGGAAAATTCAAAATGAGAAAAGTAGACCTTTGCTACAGCCAAGCAAGCAATAATTTTAAAATCGGCACAAGAGACAACATTCAGACACACACACACCCATTAAATGGAAGCACCTTTTGCACAGGCACCTTTTGCAAAGTTTTGGGAATAGGTAATAAAATCAAGAGTAGTTTAAGTTCTTGGGAAGAAACAGGAAGAACAAGGATTTCCGGAGTGAAGATAGAAAGGAGCAGCAAGAGGAAAAAAGAATCACCTTTATTTTGCAGCCCTGTACAACTAGTGCACACAATTCTGGTCCTCAAAGGTCAGTTTTAGGTGGATTTTCGCACAGTTGTAAGAGAAGAAAAACAGGAAATCCCTATCAATAGCTGCTTACTGGTGCTGTTTGGCAGTTTGCTCAGAATGTTGAACCTCCAGTTCTTCTGGTGCTGGGGAGTCAAACCAATTCAAGGACTGGGCATTTATATTCCACTCCTTTGATTCTGGACCCAGCTGACTGATGAAACCAGCTGACTCTTCCAGGCTGTGAATCCCAACTCAGCAAGGACTACTTCAAGAACCCAGGAAACCTGTGCTTCCAAAGCCTGGGAAGACAGCATACTGGAGGGGTATGTTCAGTCCCTGTCAAGGTCTGGAATCTCCTTGGGTTTGTAACTGAAAGCCCAATTCAGTGAAGGACCATGTCAGGCCACCGCCCATTTGGGGTCATACTGCTGGGCTAAAGTCCAGTTGGTATGAGGATTTGACCTGAGAGGTTGGCCAGATGAATTAACGGCTTTCCTCTTGGCCTGAACAAAAGATAACCCAATGTTGATGCCTCTGAATTTTCTAGGCTTCTCCTGGCTTTGATTATGAAATGTTCCAGGGAAAAGCCTACCAGTCACTGCAAAGCATATGTCTATTATTCTGACTAACAAAAGGAATGGCCCAAAAGGAATGGCCCAAAAGGAATGGCCCAAGAAATGCTCATAGCTCTGGAAACATTATTATCAACATTTATGCTGATATCCCTTGCTACATTTGCCATAGTTTTACCAAGACTCATAATCAGCAATGCAAATGGGAATTGCTGAGAGAGATGGTTGCTGAATAATAGTTAAGTACTGCTTAAGGTCAGCCTTGCATCACTTCAATATCATTGTTTATTTTCTGTTGCTACTCGAATGGTTGTACATAGGATGTCTTATGATGTCACAGGAAGAAGTTAATGAAGGCACCCCACTTCCAGTCTGGTGTAATTTTCACACCTAGCACTCAAATGTATCAGTTTCACTACAGAAAGAAACTGTTTCCTACACTCAGTGTTTTTGACTTGTTGCTTCAACCATATTATTATGGTGATGCAAACACCGAGCCAAGTGAGAATACAGGTTATAGAAAAGGCAAGAAAATCAGGTTACAAACCAATTGATAAACATATTCTGGCTTTCAAACATGACTTCAATCTCATCTGAATTTAAGCGTATAAAAGTCAGCCACGGTTTGTAGTGCTTTACTACTCTTAATATTTGCATGAGTTCTTCATCTCTTACTTATGACTCAGCATCAAGATTCTAGTGATGATGCCACTAGACCAGTGTTGTCCAAACTTGGCCACTTTAAGATGAGTGGACTTCAACTCCCAGAATTCCCCAGCCAGCATGGCAGTCGTGGGAGGCAAGGCACACAGGGGATA